AAAATCTCAAGATCAAACTCAGACTAAGCTCTCAAACAAAATTATTGACTGCTCCTTCAGCCTACTCAGCATTGCCTAGAATCTTGAGCTTTTTAGTTGGGGGAGTTTTAAGATAAATTTTACATTTTCTAGGTGGGGAAAGACATATCACTTTTACTAAAAAGACTGAATTGTAAAAAATTCTATTGGTTACTTAAAGGGTTGTTTTTAAACTTAAGACCATTTTTTTTTGCATGTGATTTTTTTTTTTCTCCAATTTGGTGCATTTTAAGATCCTGAAGTATACACGCCTGTAGAAAAATTTCAGTTACAATTTCAGGAGAGACTCTCTTAGTCTGGCATGTGAGCTAAATGTTATACTAGCTGAAGTATAAACAATACATCACCCCTGAATTACAAGCCTGTATTAAATACAGTCTCTCTATAGTACTTTAAAGATAATTTGTAATTTGCAGTGTTTCCATGAGTCTCACAGGATCTTCCAAATTATGCAATTCCACCACGGGCATCCTTGACTTGAATAAAGTGAATGTTCCTGTGTTGAAAATCTTCCTCAAGGCATTGATTACTCTTAGATTAAACTAATCCATAATACAAACCCCTTTTTTAGCTCTGCATGTGAAAGCACTAGGTGCAAGGCACTATTATGCTTTTATGCTAGGCAGTTGATTTTGCATCACAGTGTGCTGCCTAATGACTAACCATTTTCTGTCCAGTTTGGTTAAAAACCATTATTATAAATTAACAGAAAAAGTCTGGCTTTCTGCTAATTGCAGTTTGATTATATTAATTCAAATTATTAATTGCACAGTAATGTTAATATTTTCAGTTTATACATAACATGTAAGTATTACTATAGTTTTACATTTGGGTTCAAAATATTATCTTCGCTTCAAGCTGATTGTTAGGACCATTTCCCAACACATGGCTCAGCTACTGCAGAAAGGAAAGGTAGTGAAAATGGTAATGGTTGTTCTGATGACAAAAATACTGATCACCTTTTGTTTGAAATGCTCTTACCCCTTTTTTAATCTGAAAATGTGTAAGATGTATTCTTCACTTTAAGAATTTCTCTCTGTCATGTCTATACTAATCTGCCCACATGTAATCAATACAACACTAAAAAAAAATGCAAACCAAAAACAACAACAAAAAACAACACCAAAACAAATCAGAAAACCCCACAGCTACTCATCTTTGAGACAAAGCAGTGATGGTGGAACTCATTTCTTTTAACTTTATTAATACGAAAGTAACGTTCTGTATCAAAGCTTCCCAACCACAAGAGTGACATTTTGTCTTTATTTTTTGCATTGATTTTCTGTCTAGCAGTCCCAAACTGGTGATTTCTTTACAAGAGGTTCCCAGTTCCTTTGGCCATTCCAATTGGGTCCCTGTGTGCAATTGAGGAAACAGTTCTCCCAGGCTCCCTTGCAAATGCTGGGGCATTATTACTATTGTTTTCAGGGTGTTTAATACACCAAGTGGCCTTTAATGGTTTGGTGTATTGTAGGGAATGATCATTTGTTTTCCACTGGGTGTTATGCCCAGTGGTTCCCCAGGGGACATTAAAAGCCATCATTGTACTGTGAAAACCACACACTGGGACCTAGTGAGGGGGTCGGAAGAGGCAGTTAACACCTTACTTCCAATACTGAACTGGTGATTATTGCACTTGGTGACCAACTGTAGGTGGTATGGGTGTACCTCTACCTTTCCCATCTGTTCTGCAGGACCAATGATAATTACTGCATTATCTCCAGATAAGCTCAAGGACTAGTGATATGTTAATGTTCTGCACAAAGATTGGTAGGGTTTCTCCACTAACCTGAGGGTAGGAAGGCAGCCAGGCTGTTACTGAAGTTAAGTTTACCACACATGCAAATCCCCTACTGGTCCAGCTACCAAGTTGATGTGGGAACTGTACTAAAGAACATTCAGAAACAGCACTCGAATTCTTGCTTTTCTCCTATGTGGTTAGTTAGGCTCAACATGCTCATATATGACAGGCTACCTTTTCCTGGGGAAATTTCAGGAACACAAGCTCTTTGCTTCTAACTAGAGATTTTTTGGACTTCTCTTATGACACCTGTCTCCAGCTCTGCAGATAAGGCCCATGAACAACTGAATTTTAGTCCACCTGTTCATGCATCTATGACAAGTCATGCTGACTTGCTCTCACTCCTGCTTCCATCCAATTTCAGACATCTGCCCTGGCCCCCTGCCCTGGACTCTTACCCTGTTCCAGGTTCCAGCTGTCTACCAGGACTCCTGATAGACAAGAGCTTCTCTTAGAAAGAATTCTGGAAAAAAACCTAACAACTTATAATGATGAGTTTTGCCATAAGTAATTGTACTGCCTTATACACTATTACTGTACTTCAATAGCCTGCATCCAGTGTTCAAGCCTGTAAAATTTATTGAAAATGATGAACTGGAAATACACCTGCATGCACAGCACTGTAATCTCATGTTATCTATACAAAAGGTGTCCAAGCCATGTAACACATTGTGCTCTATCAAGAGATACTGCTACTAGTGGCCTACCAACATCCTGCCCCACCACACATGCTACTTTTCATTTATCTTAAATTATTACCTGCCAACTAACCATTTTCACTACTGGAGAGATTTAATCTAGCAACGATTTTATTCCATGGATTTTAGCAATTTAAATTGGTATTTGTGACTTTCATCTTTCATGTCACTGATAGTTAGGAAGATCCATAACATGGCAGCTATAAAAATTAATATGGCAACCCTGATCAAATGCCAGCACAGTTCCCTTCTTTGCCTGGAACTTGCTGGGGTAGCAAATCATAACTGACTGATTTACTGTGGTACCTTTCTTGATCTTAATATAGATTACACAGGTCCTGGAAGTAAGCACTGGAAGAACATTTTTGTGAATTTACTTACACTAAGGTACAAATAGTTGAGAAAATATTTGTATTTATTGTTACTAGGTGGTAAAAAAAAAAAAACAAAAAACAACAAAAACCATTTATATTACCGTGTTTGCTATGATGGAAGGCAGAACTGATTCTCATACAACCTGAGAGTTGTGTTTCCCAGAGACAGGAGATGTTGCTGTATTTTTGCTACAGGAGAAAATAGATTTCAGATATTGTAAATATAACACAAAAATTGGAGTAAATGGTTTAGTACACAATGTACTGCTGTGAACACACGGCTAAGACTTTGTGAGAACACATTCTGGTATTTTAGACCATTTAAAGTTATGTTTAAGGTTATATAAAGCTCAAGATAACTTTAAAGTTATCTGGAGTTAGGTCAATGGAGCTTTCATGATGTAAAACTGTTCCTAGATAAAAACAGGAGTAAAGCAGTCTGTCTACTACAGAATTTTCATGAGGAAGAAAAAAAAAATCTATTAATCACTTAATTGACATGTGGCTGAGTTTCCTTTCCTGCATAACGGGGATAATTCAGGTCGATCCCAAATGATATCTGCTGTATAAGTGTGAATCTTACACTAGTACTCCCTTACTATTAAGGGACATATCTGAGAGGATTGGCTGATACACCTGAAGGCTGTGTAGCCATTCAGTGAGATCTAGACAGACTGGAGGGCTGGGCAAAGATGAACCTAATGAGGTTAAACAAGAGACCTGCACCTGGGGAGAAAAAAAACACCATGCACCAGTATAGATCAGGGGTTGACCTGCTAGAAAGCAGCCCCATGGAGAAGGACCTTGGGGTTATAGAGTGTTATATATACATGTTATCCATGGGAAAGCAAGGTGCCCTCATGGCCAAGAGAGCCAATAGTATCTTGGACTGCATTAAGAACAGTGTGTCCAGCAGGTCATAGTTATACATATATGTATATAACACTATATTGATTCTGAATTAATACACCATGTTTATAATTTCTGCTTATAAGGGCTACCCTAATTTCTGCAAAATTGGTTATTTGAAACAAAGTCCTTCAAAATAAATTTTTCATTCAAAGAAATATTTCTATTCCACCTGGTGAAAATAAGGGATGTGTGTAGGGCTCTGAGTTACTGCATCCATTCTGGCACTGGGGATTTAGGCATTAATGCCTACAAGATGGGCTTTGGCCTCAGATCCAAACTTGTCTCAAGGGATGGTCAGTTGTACTGACTGTAGTCCAATGGAATGCAAATAAATGTAGAAAGGAGCAAGTCCCTTCAAGTACATTTTTGAGTCTAGAAACAAAGTGACTTTCTTCTGCCAAATTCATGTTTCCAGTGGGAACTGGAACAAAAGATTTGTTTACTTGTTTTAAAATCCAAATGTGACAAGCCTGTACAAGGATTACAAGGTTCCAATTTTTAGAGTTTTTTTGTTGGGAATCTTGGTTTTATTACTCCTTATTTTCCCATAGACCCATGTCATAGAATCATAGAATCGTAGAATCATAGAATCATAGGGCTTGGAAGGGACCTCTGCAGATCAAGTCCAAACCCCTGCTGCAGCATGAACACCTAGGGCAGATCACACAGGAGAGCATCCAGATGGGTCTTGAAAGTCTCCAAAGAAGGAGACTCCATAACCTCTCTGGGCAGCCTGTTCCAGTGCTCTATCACCCTCACAGTAAAGAAGTTTTTCCTCATATTGAGGTGGAACTTCCTGTGTTGCAACTTGGTGCTGTTTCCCCTTGTCCTATCACAGGACAACTCTGAAAAGAGACTGGCCCATTTGCCATTGTATTGGGTTTCCATTATAAGGTTTGGGTAGTGGGGGGGCTATAAGGAAGGATTCTGTGAGAAGCTACTAGAAGCTCCCCCCATGTCCAACTGAGCCAATGCCAACTGACTCCAAGATGGATCTGCTTCTGGCCAAGGCCAAGCCCTGCAGTGATGGTGGCAGTGATACCTGGGATAATATATTTAAGATGGAGAAAAACCTACTGGGCTATAGCAGCTGGAGAGAGGAGTGAGAATTTGTGAGAGAAACAACTCTGCAGACTCCAAGGTCTAGGTGCTAGAGCAGAGATTACCCCACAGCCCATGTTGAAGGCCGTGCTGAGGCAGGCTATCCCCCTGCAGCCTATGGAGGTTTATGGTGGAGCAGATATTGACCTGCAGCCCCTGGAGTACCACACACCAGATCAAGTTGGTGCCTGAAGGAGGCTGACCCTGTGGATAACCCGCACTGGAGCAGGTTTGCTGGCAGGACTTCTGAGCTGTCGTGCTGGAGCAGTCTGTTCCTGAAGGAAGGACCCCTGCTGTAGCAGTTTGTCAAGAGCTACAGCCTGTGGGAAGGAGTTACATTGGAGGTTTGTGGAGGACTGACTCCTGTGGGAGGGACACAACGCTGCAGTAGAGGAAGACTGTGAGGAGTAAGGAGCAGCAAAGACAATGTGTGATGAATTGATTGCAGTCCCCATTCCCTGTCCTCCTGTGCTTCTCTGGGGAAGGAGGTAGAGGAGCATCAGGAGTGAAGTTGAGCGTGGGAAGAAGGAATGGGCGGGGGAAAGGTGAGGTGTTTCAAGATTTAGGTTTCATTACTGTACTTGGGTTTTATTGGTAATAAATGAATTTCCCTGAGTCAAGTCTGTTTTGCCCATGACAGTAATGGGGTGAGTGGTCTTTCCCTGTCTAGAAGCCTTTTGTTGTATTTTACCTTCCTTGTCCAGCTGGCTTGGTGGTCACCTGGCACCCGGCCGGGGTCACCGCAGCACAGCTTCAAAGCACGGACAGCACGGCGGGAGCGGGGGGCCCTGCCGCGGCGAGAGGGCAGAGGAGCTCCCAGAACCTGCGGGCGGAGTTACCGGCCCTGTGGTGCTGGGACAGGCGGCCCCGCCCGTCCGTTCCCCGCCTCCAGGTGCGTCTCGGAGCGCGGGGCAGGCGGGCGGCCG